AATTTAATTCTTCTTTACTATCTTTACGCTTTTCCCAGCTCAGCTTGCAGCTCTTCTGGTAGCGTTAGAGACAGCTCAGCAGCAAGAACCTCAAGCTGCCTTGCTGCTGCTCCTAGCTCCTTCAATGCGGATTGTAGGGGCTCCTCTGGTGCTGCTTCTCCTTCTGCTGCTGCTCCTTCTGCTGCTGCTGCTTCTTGGGAGCCCCCCTTTGTTGAAGCTTCAGCTGTAGGGGCCCCCTCTTCTGGGGGGCCCCCCCCTGATGCGGTGCCGGGGGCCCCCTGTAGAGCAGCAAGCATCGAGGTGTACTGACAGCTTAAAGCCTTCATTCTGCGACAGAGTTGCATTACTCCCTCTGATTCATCACCTATTAAAGGCCCTAAAACAATTTTTCTCCAGAGGGAGCCCCGTTCTTTTGCTGCTCGCATCTGCTGCCGCACACGCTGCACCTGCAGCTGCAGCACCTCCTTCTTCACTTGATGAGCAAACCTCTCCGCAGCGTGCTGCTGCTGCTGCTGCTCCAGCAGATTCGACTGCTCCTGCTGCTGCTGCTGCTGCTGCTGTGGAGCCTGCGCATCCGGCGGATCCGGCGACGCAACGGTTCCCTGTTGCTGCTGCTGCTGCTGCTGCTGCCGCTGAAACCACCATTTGCTGTTGAGATCCCTTAGTCGCACGCGAGCCTCTGCTAGCTCTTGAGTAAGGACGTCTATTTCTTGTTTAAGCCTCCTCTGGCCCTGCTCTCCTAGCTGCATGTCGCGCTGCTCCAGCAGCTGCTGCTGCTGCCGCTGCTGCTGATCAATATACTGCAGCAGCATTTGGTTCTGCTGCTGCATTGCATCGTTAGACTGCGGCAGCTGCAAGTCCTCCAGCAGCTCCTGCTGCAGCTGTGATGCTTCTGCTGCAATAGTTTGCTGCTGCTCGACGATTTGCTGCAGCACCTGCTGCCGAGCGGAGGCTGCTCGCAGCTGCTGCTGCAGCGTGTACTGTCGCTGCTGCTGCTGCAGCAGCGCTGCAGTTGCTGCTGCGGCTTTGGTATCCGCTGCAGCCTCCAGGCCTTCTACTGCATGCCTAGCGCATGCAGCAGCAGCTCTCAACTCAGACAGGTGCTTACCTTTGTCCCCCAGATGTGTAAGTGATGCCGCCTCTAAGCGCTGCTGCTGCTGCTGCCGCAGCTGCTCCTGCTGCTGCTCTCTAAGGGCTCGCTGCACGTTAAGGCGGTCAAGCTCGAAGAGCAGCTTGACTTCTTCTCCCTCTGCATCTGCGAGTTGCTGCTGCAGCAGCAGCTGCTGCTGCTGCTTGCTGCTGCTAGGCATCAACGCCCACAACGCCTCCGTCTTAGGAGCACCCTCCCGAGCCCTGGCTAGCCTCTGAGACAGCGTAGGGAGATGCTGCAGCTCTAGCTGTGAAGTTTGCTTCTGATTGCGTTCAGATAGCTGCTGCAGCAGCAACCCCACAGACAAACTGAGCAGCAAAAGCCATATGACCTTCCGTCGCAGCGGCACTGAGCTGCTGCTGCCCTTCTCCGCTAGAGCAGCAGCTGCTGCTGCTGCAGATCCTAATGCAACACCTCCTGATGCTCCAGGCGAGAGGCCTAGATCCTGCTGCTGCAGCTCCTGCTGCTGCAGCTCCTGCTGCTGCAGGCTGCTGCGAGTCGTCCCCCACCCCTGCTGCTGCACCCCTGCATCGCCCCTCTCTGCTGCTGCTGCTGCTCCTTCAAGACCGAAGCTGCCTCCGAAGAGCTCTGAGATGGTGAGACGTGGCAGCGGTATGCTGCGGGGACGCTGCTTTTGCTGCTTCTGCTGCTGCGTCTGCTGCAGAAAGTGCTGCTTGAGCAGCTCCTGCTGCAGGGCCTGTAGCTGCCTCTGCTCCTCTTCTAGCTGCTGCTGCTGCTGCTGTTGCTGCTGCTGCTGTTGCAGCGACAAATCTTTGCCTCCAATATCAAACGAATCTAAGTCAAAGCTGCCTGTTGTCTCTGAAGCTCCTTTGCTTGATGACTCCCTTGCCTTCCACTGAATGCCCCCATCTGCAGCAGCAGCAGCAGCAGCAGGGGGTGATGAAGCAGCAGAAGGGTATGAAGAGCCTGGGAGGGCCCCCAATGCCGCTGGTGGGGGCCCCTCTTCATCTGGAGGGGCCCCCCACACAGTGTCTGGGCTGCTCCGTGATCTGAGAGCGTCTTCTCGCTGCACCTTTGCTGCTGCTGCTGCTGCTGCTGCTGCTGTTTCATAGTTTGATGATAGAGTATCCTGGGGGCCCCCCTCCTGAGAATTACTCCATGAGGACCAGTTAAAGGGGGGCCCCATTGGGGAGTCAAGAGCCGCGTATGAGGTGGCCTCTAAGAAAGAAGAGGTTGAAGCACCTCGTCGGGCAGCTTCAAAAGCACGAGAGGATTTGCTTAGTGCGGCTGGTAGTGATGTATACAGCAGAAAACAGACAAATCGCAGCAAACATGTCATCATACGCAGCGCATAGACACCCTATAACGCAAGCAGTATAAACCCGTTGAAGAAAATATCCTGCTGCTGCTGCTGCTGCTGCTGATGGTGTTGCAGCTGCGGCTGCTGCTGCTGCTGCTGCTGCTGATGCCGCGGCTGCTCCTGAGACGCCTTCTACCTGAGCATTGTGTGATGCTTGGTGGGGACAGCCACTGCTCCACCCAATCCTCCGCCATAAACCCTAAACCCTAAACCCTAAACCCTAAACCGCCCATCCTGCGAGCACCGCCACCTCCAGTGCTTTGTAGCAAGAACGGTGTTTGCAAAAGAAGAAAACAAATCATTTAAAAATACATAAAATAAACAAATGACTGTATTAAAGAAGAAATAGTCATATGGCTCCCGCCAGCCAACGAACATCGGCTCCGATTGGAACGAGGGTTTAGGGTTTAGGGTTTAGCAATTAGGGTTTAGTGCTGGGAACGCATACTTTTTTGTTTTTGATCATTATATATAATTTTGAAATGCAAATATAATTAAATAATATATTTAACCTTCTTCCTCTTAAACTAATTCTCTACCCCAGGCCCCCCATCGCTCGCGCTCAGCTGTACGTCGCGCCCCCTTCAAAAAAGCTAAGAGCTCCGTCTAAACCCTAAACCCTAAACCCTAAATCCTAAACCCTAAACCCTAAACCCTAAAACCTAGCTAGTAAGCCCTATTAACACGTAGCGCCACCCTACTACTGATGCTCTCACGATGAATTCAACGCGAGGAGCTGCTAATGGTAGCCTCGTCTCTTTGTGTGGTTTATAGGGATAGAACAGACAGCGACAGCTGCATGCTTAAAATAATTAAAAGACAGCTTTAAAAACTCCCTGTCTCTGTCTCCAGGTGTCCCGGATGCAGGTGCACACAGCGTAAGATAGCTACGTCTCTCGAGAGTTTATGAACGACTGTTTGTTTATTATATTTGCACAAATTCGTGTTTATTACTTTGGGGCTGTGCTGTCAGCGCATGCATTTAAATTGTTTGCATGCGCTTGTATAAGGGATTAATTTGCTGCAGGAGTTGCAGCAAGCTGCGCTGCATATTTATCCTTAAGGATGCCTCTTCGTTGTTGAAATACTACTGAGCGTTATATATGCATTAAAGAGTATATGAATATAATGCTATATTACGCAATATATATAAATATATTATTATATTAAACCCTGTTATATGTATGGCGTCTGTATGCTTCTATGCATGCTGTCATCTACACTTACACCTTCTATCATCTATTACTGCATTTTCATAGTTAGAGGCCAGAGAGCTTCTCCTTATAAAAGATAAGCTTCTTGTTATCCCTGCGAAAAACTTCAGCATTAGCAGCACTAAGATTATATCAATATATGATGTATATATGTAGAGACGAAGCCGATGCTGCACTGAGTTCATTAATATAAAAACAAACAGTAATTAAACCTCCTTTGCGTTTGTTTTGCTGCTGAGACCCTCGTATGCGTCTCTAAGAATGATAATAATAATAATTCTATAAAACAAAGGTATTTCTTAACATACTTCGTTGCACTTTACTGCATGTTAATCTCTCGTGCATTTGTTTATTTGCTGCAGCCTCTGTATACAGATGAGACAAATGTAATATCGGCGAAGAAAGCTGTTTGAAATTTGAATCAAAAAATAAACTAGCCAGTGGCTACATAGTTAAATGCACTTCATTCTTCTTCTTACTAGAAAGCAAGTCAAACAAACTTTTTTTTTTTTGTTGGATACAGAGACGCAAGTATTGCACAAGTTGGGGCTGTTGATGCATGCAGTTTAAACGACAGCCCCCGAATGATGTTACACTGAAAATATTATGTTCACTCGAAGTCTTCTTCATGCACGACTCATTACTAGCCTTCAGCCCTTCTCAATAATGATAAGGATAATGTTTCTTATAAACTGTGCAGCTTAAGACCCAAACAAAAAGAGATAATAAGTTAGTTTGCTGAGCCCTCTACAATATGATAGATGCTATTGCAGCCTCTAACTGATGATAACCCCTCTATGAACTCTATCTCTAGATCTGTTTACATCTGTTAGAGAATCAGATAGCTGTGCAAGAGCAGCCCCAGCTTAATACTACTCCTCAACTGTTGTAGCATTGAAACCAGATAAATGCACAGACTAATAAAGAGGAAGTCTGCATATAAATATATAGGGCCTATCGTAAGAATTGAAACAACTTGTTCACATTTGTTTTGTCTTTATCATGAGAGCTATTAAATGAAAACATCGTATTTTTGCTGAGATCTCCTGTATGAATAGATACACTGAACAGATACAACTGGGGATGTATATTTATTCTCTCTCTTCGAGTGTCTAAAAATATTATTGTCGTTATTATAATAATAAACCATAGTCTTTTGCTGGGCTTCGCAAGAATCGTTCGCTCGCGAGTTTATAAGGATTAAGAATAAAACAATTTACAAGGTAATCGGGGCCGCTGCAGATGCAAACCCTTACTGAACATACAGCCTAACCCTCAGAAACATCTGCTTGTCTCTTTACTCTTGCTTTTTATTATTATCCTTTGGAGACAAGCTGGGCTCTTCTCTAGGAGTAAATGCATTCGAGACAGTGCATGCATGAGGCGTCCCCCCAAACCTTCTTTCGTTTGTTATTTAAAACATATATCAAAATTCTTTCTTTCTTCAGCTCTATACACCTCTGCTGCTTCTCTGGTGCTAATAATAATAATAATAATAATAATAGTAAAACCATTGTCTATTTATCTATTTACATAGATAAATAGACAAGG